CCACCATTCTGGTAAGTAATTTTTTTCTTTACTGTAGCCTTTTTGTGCAGAAGGTGGAAATAGTGGAGATGTATTGATATGTATTTACACGGAATGAACTGATGCTTGGTTAAGTCATAACAAGGAATGTCCTTCTATAGCCCCTAACATATCACTTGGCTTCTTTACGTTCAGTAGTATTCCGTCATAGATAAGTAAAATAATCTCGTATTGTAGGGCTGTGCAGTCCTCTTGGCTGCTATACTGGGTCCTAACTTCCATTCTCAAGTGGTCTGGGGGACGGGAGGAAATTTACTTTCAACTGTGCTGTTGTCACATTGCTGTAGAATTTGCTGCTCTCACACTTGAAGTCTTCTAAGGATCAACCCACTGAATCAAGAAGATGAGCTAAAATAGTTTTTAATGAGTTTTTCAAGTTGAAGTCTAACATATTATTTTCAATAAATTATTTTCTTTCTATTTAACCATCATGGTACTTATCTTCCTGGGTGGTCATGTTATCCCTCTGAAACTCACTGCAGTAGAATTGGATGAAGCCTGAATGATATTTCTCACCCAGCCCTTCTTTAAATGTGGTTTTCCCTCAAATAGTAATATTTTCCCTATGCCTTCATTTTCTATTAAAAATAATCTAAACTATTTAATAATTAGATTTAATTGTCTTCGGCAGATCTTATAACAAATGTGCATTTCATCTACATGGTTTCCAGCATTATCAGTGCAATTTTCATTCGGGTTTGCAGAGAACATGTCAATGTGGACAGGCTTGCTTGTTTTAGGAGAGGACCAGCTAGAGCATGAAAGCATGACACTAGTTAGCGTTGCACATGAAAAAGGGAAAAGGTTGTCTGTCAGTGGCCTGCTCCAAAGTGGTCTCAGTGTAGTTGACTGCTGCAAGTGTGGAGCCAGGCTCATGGCTGGCTGCTGCCAAAGGAGGGAGATTTCCTTCCTTTCTTGCTCACCCAACCCTTCCTGAGGCCAGTTCTACTCAGTAACCCATGATAAAGCTGAGGGAAAGGAGTTACTTAACTGGCAAGTTTTAACAAACTTAACACCACTTAACAAAATGGTCTAATAAAGACTACTAATACAAAGTAAGGGATGTGTGTCCAGCTGGAAGAATTGTGGGAGGCAGGACCAAGGAACCTTTGACTTTATTGTGGGCCAGTACATAGGCTCACTCAGTCGCTTTAAACCACACCAGAATTAGAGACTTTGAAAGTCTGTAAGATGAATACAGTAACAGAGAATAAGAGGGAAGAAAATACCCCATTCCCTCCCTTACTCCTCAGACTTCACAAATCTTGAGCTCCATTTACCACAATTTGCAGAACAAGCTAAAAGTGTATGTGAATAGGAGATGAATAACTAGTCCTGGCTCTGTGGATGATAAGCAGTTTGTTGCTGTTATTATTATTACCACCCAAATATAATAATTGTATATGGATAGATTTCTGAATAGCTTACCCAATACACGAGGTTTAGACTGTGTCTAATCCTTTTTTTTTTTTTGGTCTACCTGTTTCACAGAATAAATGTGTTTTGTAAAGTGTGAAAAAGTCTAAACGTCAGCTATTTTGAGTATATGTTTATGACTTGCTGATTATTTGTCCTTGTGCTTTTCTAAAATCTGATGGAGGAAACCCTGATTTTAGTTATAAAATAACTTTGTTGACAGTTTGTGCTGTAACAGCTATGATATGATTGGGTTTGTGCCCAGTTGGGAAGTTCTGAGTGGAAACTTGTAGCCTTCTGTTTATAAAAGCCTGGATTTCTCTCTTAAGTACATGAATTTTCTGTGATTCATAAAAAATCATAAGCTTTGCTTTGAAAACCAGTGTTAGTGATGGATGAAATACTGGGAGTCAAATGAAAAAAAATCAGGAATCCCAGTATCAATGGGGAATTCCTCAGCCGTGACTTAGAACAACACATGGTAACATGTTCCTCTTCCCCTTATGTTCCCTCTGTTCAGTCCCCAAAAAATCTATTCCTAGATGCTAGAAAGAAAAATGACCTTTCAAAGATGCAGGTGAGAATTGCCAATACCACGCATTTCTTCCATGGCAGACAATTTACCCTAATACTGCTGTCCTTATTTCTTACTTATCTCTCAAAATCTGTTGTAGCTATTCTGTCATACGCTGTATATTAACAGTATTTCCAAATGTGGAACTGAAGAAAGGCAGTAGGGATTTTCTCTCTTCTGTTTTTCAGTGAAAATGATACTAAGCGCTATTTTCGTTATGAAGCCAACCTCTTAGTGAAATATGCTATTATTTAATCATTATGTTTAGTATATAAATGGACTGTTTTTATTGGACAATGCATATGTATAAACACATAAAATTATACACACAGTCCCATGCATATTTCATCCAGGAGATTCCCATGCTTGCAGCTTACTGAGAACAAACTGATTCTTTACTTCTCAAGAGCTGCTTTCCAAGTTTCCAGTGATCAACATATCTACACAGCTTTATGGAGAATGTAAGAATGAGTTTGTGATCTTAGTCCCATTTGGAATGCACAGGTGCCTGCATCATTAACAAACACTAATTTCTGCATGTTTCCAAACCTCATCTAGAATAGAGCAAATGGATTTGATTTTTTCCACAGTCAGAAAGAAGACTATAAAAATATGCATTTAAAAATACAAAGGGTGTCATGTCTGAAGTTTTTAATGTGCTCTTCAGTGTGAGGAAAGACATTTCATACATAGTCTTCAAATACCCAGGTAAAAGTAAATTCCTTTCAACCTGCAGTATTTCTCAAGAGAAAGCATGCTGTCTCTTCCCTCTCCTGCACCAGTGTCTCTGGAAATTTCAGTAGGAAGTAAGGTTAAAATCTTGTAAACCTGTGGGAAAAAATGCTTGGTACTTCATAAGGAAGTGATAGCTCTTGATTTTTCAAAATATAAAACACGTTTTGCTCCCCAGCAAATTCCTGTAGTGTCTGTTTGGGAAAAGGAACAATTGTGTTTCTATAATGACATCTCCTAAACTGAATATTCCATTTATCCTTTTTCACCACTCTTGGTATTTCTGTGTGGTTTTCTTGTTGTTGTTGTTTTGACAAGTGGTTTTAATTTGGTGTATTTTTTTAAGAATTAGGAAGAATGACATCGAATGCTGAACTGGAAGTTGAAATCTGGGGTTGCCAGGTTTATTATGAATGCCTGCGCAGTGACAGCCCCCAGCGTGCGTGAGCGTGGTGTGTGTGTGTGTGTGTGTGTATGTGCCTGCGCATTTTTAAATAAAAAGGAAAGCAGAGGTTTGCTCATTTGTTTGCCTATTGTGAAGCTGTCCTGCACCTTTCTACTCCTTTGTACTGGGGTGAAGGCTGCTGAATGGAGGCCTTGTGCCATTTGTTGATTTTAAACCTCACTGTTAATCCACAGGAACCTGCTGGTGTGCGCAGCAGGAGAGCTGTGTGACAAGTGGAAATCTGGGCGGGGGGGAGTGTGGGGGGTCACAGGGGATAATAATCATTCAGCCATCAGCCTTTGTCACCCTTAAGCCTAATTGTTACCCTCTGCTGGTAACCACATTGAAGTGCTGGCCTTTTAAGTGTTTCTTGATTTTACTTGGCACAGGCTTAGGGATAGGATCATTTATTGCTGGGTTTATATTGTATCAGGTTTGTTGGGGTTTGTTTTATTAGCCCCATTGAATTTTCTGCATCCCTTAAAATAATTTGGGAGAGTCCCAGATGGGTGGAAGGGGCTGAATGGAAACGGTACAGTTGTTAACAAATTTCTCTCTGTCAGAAGCTGGGCTAAAACCAGAGACAGAAAGCTTTCCTGCTCTGCCAGCCAGCTGCCTCCTGGAGTCTCTGCGTGAGCTGCAGCTGTGGCTGTGGGCACTGGGCTGCCTGAGCAGCCCCACACAGGCAGCAGCAAGGTGATAGTGGGGTGGGGCAGAGGACAGCTTCCCCTGCCCCTTGTGCCTGCAGCACCCACCTGCTTTAGGTATCCCTGAAAACTAAAGGTCTGAGGATGGCTGAAGCAAGCTGAACTGGTAGTAAACTCGTGAAAGGGAGAGGAGAATTAAACAATTTAAAAACAACAAAGAAAAAGGTGAGATATCTTTTCTAGCAGTCGGGAACTGGTTCTTCAACTTTCCCTGCCAGTAACACATGCTGAAGTCAGTACTGTGCTTTCTGTTGTTTTCCTTGAAGAAGTTGCTGTAGAAGCTGCTATGGTAGCTAAAATGAAGCCTGAATTTAAGGCTTTGCAATGGGCAACTATTTCTGCGTGTGAAGTAAGCTTGTGCTGGAGGATGGGGGATGGCTCATGGGAGGTTGTTTTGTTGTTCCCCCCACCTGTGTATGGTGGATGTTGTGTTAGGCCATTACCTAAGCCTACCTGGGCTCGTGTAGGGAGGAAAATCTCCATGTTACTGGTACAGGCTTTGGAGCTATTCTTGATCAAATACACTTGCCTTCTAACCCTTCAGATGCAGCATGCCTCCAGCAGATGCAGCGGCTGCATTGTGTGCTATGACCTGATAGCCAGTGTTTGAAAGTTGCGCCAGTAGCAGCGATGGTAAATCCAGGGTTGTTACAGGAGTCTGATTACACAGCGTGATTGCAATCTTATTTTCAAGTCTAGTCTTCCACCTGGCTCAGTACTTCATCAAAACGCCTGAGAATATACCTCAGAGTAGGATGAATGTTCATGCTTGCTACTTATTCTTTTACAGTAAAAGGGGGTTGTTTATTTAAGAGGTTTGGTTTTGTGTGTTTCCCCCTGTTCCAGGGGTGTGAGTCCCTGCTGGATGTTGGCATGCATCTCAGCTCCCTGGATTTCTTTACAAACAGCATATGTCATAGTGGTACCTGTGTGGGCTTGATATTTCTATCAAAAAGCTTTAACTAGTAAACACTTCTGACCAAAGAAACCATCATCACTCAGCTGTTATATTTTCACCCTTCTGTGATGTGTATTTAATTGTAATTACTGAGTCAAGTTAATAATTCTTTTACAACTGTTATTGCAGGACATGTCTCAGGAAGGCTATGGAACCAGATCTCAACCCCCTATGGCACCAGGAAAGCCTAACCATGAAGACTTGAATCTAATCCAGCAAGAAAGACCGTCAAGCTTACCAGTAAGAAAATAATGTTTGTTTCAGTATTTTAAAATGAAGGCACTTTACGTAGCATTTCACTGTATCTCGGATGAGCAGATGAGAAATACTGAAAGAAGAAATCTTAAACAAAGTTGATGAAAAATTGTTTTTAAAAATGTGAGAACTGACAGCTTGTATATGAGTGGACTTTGCTTAGGCTTGTTCTGGTTCAAAGCAGCACTATTTATGTACATGCATATTTTGTGCTTGTGCACACGTATATTTGTATAGAGGAAATGGATTGATTAATTTTTTTTTAGCTTTAGGAATTCCATACTTGCACAAACCAATCTGGTGAGGAGGAGGCTTTTTTCTATGCCCTTTTCAAATGTTTTCAGTAGATTCTGGTTTAGAATACTGTACCCAGGAGTTATTTGCTCCAAACCCTGAGCAGTAATGAGATTGGCACGTTAATTCTGCTACTATCTATTACTACGGAAATGTAGAAGCAGGAATGACAGTGATACTTGGGCTAGGTTGATCTTTTGGTTAGGAGATTACTTTGTACTAATATTTCTTAGTTTTTCTGAGCTCTACACATTCTGCTGTGGGTGAAGGGGCACGAAGGAATATACTTTGTGAAGACATTGCAGCTACTTGCATTTTTGAAGGTCTTATTTCACTATAGTAGACAAAGTACTCAGCTTTGTCTTTGTGTGCCCCTTGTGGTTTGGGGATTTTCTTGTTTGTTGGTACTAAACCAGTATGAATTTAAACCAACTAGAATATGTTCAGCTTAAATGATGAAACTATATAAACTTTATAAACTATGTGCTCTGGCTTGGAATATTGTATCATAAGCATATAGGATATTTCCTGCAGTTCAGTGGATATGTATTCATTTGCAGTTGGATCTCTCTAAAGAGTTTACCATATTAAGATACCAAATGTATTTGTGAAATCTGGTAGTATGGTGTATATTTTACCTCTGGCACATGGCACGATTGTAAATCCCTAAAAATAGGGAAATAAACATAGTATTTCAAAGTTACATCTTTGGCACCTAGGAAGAGTGTATGTGCCACAAATTCTTTACATGACATGTGAGACATGCATGTCTCAGGAGAAGCTATGGAAACTGGTGTAAGAAGAGTACCAATTTGCTTTGAACCTAGTATTAATTTGACAGGTTTTCAGGAACCCTTTTTTAAACAGACTAATTTCTCTGAACAGGTCTCAGAAATGAATGTTGGCATTTACCTTAAAAATAGTAGCTACTGTGGACATTGAACTGTTTTGGCAACAACTACCTAGTTTAAAAAGCAGAGATATTAAAAGAGACTTTTAACCTCCCAGTTTTTCATGAACAGTGTTTATTAGGGTAAGGAGAAGTAAAGTTATTTATCAACTAATGTTCTGCTCATTTGCCTGTGTTTTTTCTCAAATAATTGTCCTACTTTTAATCCATGCTCTGTCCTATCTCCAGCATTATGATATCTAAGCAGAGTATTGGGTATTATCTGTGTCCCTGAGTGTTTGGTATATTTAGTAGCTCATAATTATTCTAGGTATGGGTAAGCTGTTAGTATTAACAGTGAATGTTAACCATTTTGGCCACAGTTTAAACTCTAAGTTGGTACCAAATGCTGTTATTGAGACACTTCGTTACTGAAAAGCGTTGATGCATAACCAGAGAGCACTTTATATACTCAAAAACCCCGCTGTTTTCATATGGAGGGGAATGGAGTATATTATAATTTTGTATTTTATTTTGGTTTTGGTGTGGGATTTTTGTTTGTTTGTTTTCTTTTTCAATCTAAAAACAACTTCAGTCCTTTGTATATAGAGACAAAGGCTTTTTTGATCATGTCAGCAAACTCCCAGTCCTCTTACATCCAAGGAAGATGTATTAGAAATTAGGAATAATCCATACATTCAAGATATGGTGAACAAGATAAAGGCTTTAATATAAGTCTGTTTTGGGTGATGGCTTGACCATATATGAACATGGTGGGTTTTTTCCTGAAACAGGAGAATTCTGTATTATGTTTTGGACTGCTTATGAAAACCCTTTATCACTATCCCTTGTTTACCATTCCTAGTTAGCTTCATTTTGGCATACTAAATATGGCTTCTTAAGCTTGTTTTCAAGGTAATGTGGTTCTTCAGGGTAGTAATCAGTAAGTTGTCTTTGTACAGTGAAGCTTGAAGTTATAGCAGTGGTGTTAGGCTTTTAATAAAATTTAGTTATGTTTTGTTTCATGGTATTCTGGTATTTATACTATTTGCCCGTTATCTTTTTATTTCTTAAGGGCATTGTGTAAAATCACAGCAGCTACATAGCAAGCTTATACAAGTGTCAAAAACCAACAAAAGAGATGTAATACTAAATGGTGAATGGTTTTCTCTGATGTGGCTTTGAAAAAGAGTTTCCCTTTGATAGATTCGAAGAGGAGCTGGCCACTTTCTGCAGCACTGAATGCTGGCTTGTGTCACCCTTTGGGGGGAGTTTTTTCAGCAGGTTTGTGACACAGTAAGCGCAGCTAAACAGCTCAATAGTTGTTCCGTTTCCTTCACACATTGTATATAAAAGTCCTGGCATGAATGTTCCCATAAAGTTCAAAGCGGACGAATTTGTAATGTGGGTTGGTAACAAATGGCTACAAACAAAATATGGCTTTATTAGCTACTTCTAATGGCCTGTCAGATTCTATACAATGCTTGCTTTCCTTCTCCTAACTCCTCTGATATCTGGAGGGTTTGACCTGTGGATCTCTGACCGTGTGGAGTCACTGAGAGCCCAAATGAAAAGCTGCACAGAATAGTGCTCTAAGCACTTTTGCTGGGGTCACAATTAGAAGGAAATCTCAAGCTTTTGAGAAAACATGGGAGTTAGGTACTCTGTGAAGGAAAGGAAGTCATAAACAGAAACTGTTCTCTATTAGAGTAGAGGAATAAAGGGGAAGAGGCCTAAATGAAATTGTCTGGAGAACAGCTACTACAGAACGTATTTATCAAGACTTAAGGGATAATAGTAAAATACACATTTCTGCTATTGTGAGAAAGCTAAAGCAGACTTACAGGAAAAAAATTCCAAATGATACATCTGCAGATTTGTTGTTGCGGTAAAGGAGCTTGTGTCAGCAGTAGGCTGTGTGTGTCTATAAAGACTAATCCTTTATTTTGTCTTTAATGAGTACGTTTGTAAATGTTCACATTGGATTGTGTTGATAGAGTGAGGTGCAGAAAACATAAATTAATTTAATTTTTTTATTGGTATGAGTATTAAAGTCATTTCAGATAGGCATTGGTGGTTTTGCTATTACTTTGTTTTGTTTTAATAAGGCCCTTTTTTTTTTTGCCCATTGCGCTTGTTTGAGTTGTGAGGTTGAATGGCCTATCCAAGGTTTCTATGCTTTTGGAAGACAGGTTTCTGCTAATGTTTTTTTGTTGCAACCTACAGGTAAAGTTCTGCGGCTGCTTTGAGCCATTTAAAGCCAGAGCAGCTGCAGTCCTGCTGTGTGCCCCACATCTGTGCTGTCCCATCTCCTCCACTGTCTTTCCTGGGACTGGCCAGTAGATTTGATCTGGGGAACTGAACCAGATGGGAAATAACCTCTCTGTTTCTGGATTAGTTTTTGACTGAATCATTGTGCAATTGTGTGGGCATCAGTGGTACCTCAGAAGAGGAGGTGGAAATCAGAAGCTGTGACAAGAAAGAGGACAGACAGTGGGGACCAGAGCAGCTTTGATTTTAGCCACAGCCTAAAGGACTATATGATATTGCTGGAAGGGCTTAAGATGCTGTTATCCTGTCAGCTGAGACATGGTGGCACAGCAGATCCCAGTGTTCACAACTAGGCCCTGCAGCAGTCATAGAGCCACAGACAGACAGAAGACAGTTCACTTCTTTTTGTAAGGTAAGTTTTCTGCCAGTTCCCATCCCTAAGCTGTTTTATGCAAGGCAATCCATGAGTGTATAAGCGTGGAGGTGTGAACATGCATGGCTGGAGGCCACAGTCAAGGTGGGCTTGTGCTGGTCCTCACCTGCATCCATGTAAACTGTAGGGAAAATGTGGCTTTAGTCTTGTAACTTCGGTTTATCTTGTGCTTACTGGAGGTCATCCAGTGTTGAAGGGGGAAGGTTGTATGTGGATTTGAGGGAATCACTATTCTACTAGATCATTCATAATTCTGAGTTTATGGATTCATTCTGTGACATCACTTATTCACTGGGTCTTTCCATGGAGGCAGAGCAATTCCTATGCAAAACAAAATAGTAGGCAGCAGTGAAGATAGAATGCCGCTTGTATCTTGTGCAGTGCTGTGATCTGAGAAGTTTGGTTGTGGTTCTACAACCTCTGTAGTTGTATGAGCTTCAGTGCCAAGCAGATAAATTTTTTAAGATATCAGTTGCCTAGTTTCATTATGCTTGGCACTGTGGAAAACAGCACATCAGCAATCCCTTCCTGATTTTATTAAATGCTTCATAGTTCTGTTTTACCTAATTTTAATGAGCCCTGAAAGATGTTTAGGTGCTGAACAGTTTTTTTCTCTGGTTGACACACCTTTTTTGTTGTAGAAGGAGGGTACTAAATTAGATTTCAGAGGACCTCTGTTGAGAACTAGTAGTAAACTAAATGCAAGATTAGATATAATTGGCTCGTGGAACATCATCATTTCATATGGATCTCAACAGGTGTAGGTTGTGAGAAAAATACGTGGGATGGTTGGGGAGTCCACATTCTGTGTCTCACTTCTAGAATATGAAGTATCTGGGAACCCATCTCAAAAAACAGCACTCCCCAAACAATTAAACATTAATGGCTGAAGTCAATAGACAGGAAAAAACTTCCCAACATTACCTGAGCAAATGTGGTTTAGAGTTAGCAGGAGGTAACTCTTCTTTTCTCAGAGATTAAACTACTGGCATGAGGGACTCTGGTGACATTTATACTCAGCTTAGTCCAGTAGGCACTAATCATGATCGGGCTTGTGGATGCTACCATAATGTAAATATTGATTACCACTGTAGCCCT